TCGTCTCCCTCCTTATCTCTTTCGAGACTATCTCGTTGTTTTTGTTTGAAGTGGGATGCTTTCAAATTACTGGGACTTCCCAATCCTAGTACTTGTTGAGGGTCTGGTGTCTTTCAATTCTTTTGCCGGCTCACCGACACTAAAAAGTGCCTCCAACATGGGCTCATAGCCTGGAGCCAAGTTCAACACCCTTTGCACAAGTACCCCAAGTTCAAGGGTGGCGCATAGAGGGGGGGGGGATTTGGAGGACACCTGTCGGAATATATAACCAACCATTTGTTGTGCACATACGAAGTGTAGGAAGATATGATTCCTTGGGGAAACTTGCCATCGGGACAAGTGGCAAGTGAAGCACCGAGGATATTTGCCTCTTCCGAAGTCTATGACCGCTTGCCGAGGGAAGAGATGGGGAGCCTCAGGCTCGCCTCTCTAGACCCTCTGGTCACTCTTGTTCTACCTTCCTCTCCTCGTTGTTGTTGTTGTTTTCTTCACATTAAACTCGTGTCAATTGCTAATAATCCCAAAATCTAGCAAAGATTCGGTCCGTGGTCACACAAATGCTAGATAGAGCCACCAGAAGATCTAGAGAACACGCACACTATTAGCAAGAAAAGGGTACACGAGTCCGAGGAGGTACACCTACAATCCCTGCAGCACGTTTGTGTGCTCACACACCGCGTGCCTTTTTCTGTCTCTTTTTTCTTGATATTTTCGGCCTGGGCCCTTGTTGTCCTCGCTCTTTTTATTCCATTTTCTCTTTCCTTACTGTTTTCTTTTGTTTTCTTCTCTTTTCTCTTTTTCTCTCTTTTTCTGTACCAGATGGCCCTGTCTCTGCTTGCGTTGTAAAGTACCAAGATTGAACCAAGGGGGTGTACCTCAATTCTCTCCGGCCCGTGATGGTGATTCCTAGTCTCAGTTGTTACCTCGTATAGCGCGCAGAGGGAGTGGAGGACTCCAGAATATCCGTCGTTGATTTCTACCATATTGACTTGCGGACCCCTCGGGGCCATTTTATTTGAGTGTACCTTTTTAGGGTAACTTAGCCTGCGACCACGAGCATCGACCGCGTCGATTGTTGGATCANTAGCGCGCAGAGGGAGTGGAGGACTCCAGAATATCCGTCGTTGATTTCTACCATATTGACTTGCGGACCCCTCGGGGCCATTTTATTTGAGTGTACCTTTTTAGGGTAACTTAGCCTGCGACCACGAGCATCGACCGCGTCGATTGTTGGATCAGTACGTACATACGAAGGTACTGGGTAGAGAGAGATCGGAACGGTTTTTAGTGGGAAGACAACAACAACAACAACAACAACAACAACAACACAACTGAACTACACGCCCACACACTGCAATTCCATTACAGCAGCAGCATCACTCCCTTGTCCCGCATTTCATCAAAATGAAGGTTTATCGACTACAGCGTGCTGCTGTCTGAAGTGCTGTTTGTACAATAATATCACCATGGTGCATGGTACACACGCTGGGGGCATGCAGCTGCTGTCTGGAGTTCTGTCAGAATGAGTCCATCNCAATCACCCGAATCTATCCACATCATCTGTGTTAGGCACAGCAGTGTAAACATCGACACTGACTAGGAATCGTTCCACATTGCAGGGGTCTTCCACGATGCAGGTACACAATTAAAGCACCCGGGTTATCCGCGCCATCTCTGTTGCGCCTCTCTACAAAATCAGTGACGTCATCACACACACCCAATAATACTATATTAAGGAAAAAAAACGAAAAATAATCGACAAGAGATGTTTGTCCGTGCGCCACGGTTCGATGCCGTCCGCATGCTCCGGTTCAGCTGCTCCGGTGCCGCTGCTCCGGTGCCGCTGTGCCCAGTCCTAGCACGACGAAACTCGACCCGCTCCGCTTCGTGCACGCTCTCGTTGCTGTCCTTCCCAGTCGGTCCCTCGCTTTGTCCCTCGTTGCACTTAGGGTTCTTGGTCTGAAAATTCTCGCGCCGAAGGGTCAACCAGCCCAATCAGCTCGTCACCACCTGTCCCCTCCTCCGTGGATTGCAATACCAGGTTACTGAGACAGCACAGCTCCCTCTTGCAAACCTAGGGCCGTGTACATAGTGCCCGTCCACCTTTCTGATGACGTCTGCCTCCGCGCACAAGGATGAGATGGGCGTTGCTGCCTACACCGACGGCCTGGAGGCCCGCGCATCTGCACCTTTGTACCTGACGCACCAGTGCCGACCCAACTACACCACTACGCACGCCTCGCGACGATGCGCCGCAGCAAGAAGGTATCGGCCCCTCGAGGGTGAGTCTAGCCCTGCTCGCTAGAAAGACCCCCCCCCCCTCGCTATTGGTCATGCCTACGCGAAACCTTGCCGAGGCAGCGAGGGGAACAAGGTTACATTTCACGAAAGGAAATAGCCACCCTTGGCAATGGGAGAATACTGCAAGAGTACTGGCCTCTGTCGCCGACAGGGACTAGTAACCCCATTCTCTTGTTTTTTTTTTACAGCTGGCAATGCGATTCGGCAGTATCTGCGACTTGAAGTCCCAGTTTTTCCAGGGATGTTCACGGTGTGGTTTTCCTCGACGGTGCGGCGCGGTGCGGTGCAGTTTAACCGCACCACACCGCACCGCACCGTCAAATATCGAGATGCACAAAACCGCACCGCACCCCACCGTCATATTTCGAGATGAAAACAACCGCACCGCATCGCACCGTACGGGTTCACAAATAACCGTAGTTGCGGTTTCATTACGGTGCGGTTTGCCCCACCCCGTAGCTAAATCCGCAGTACACCGCGATAAAAACCGCAGTAAACCGCCGTAAAAGCAGCAGGTAAGGCAAGGCTTTGTCGTGCAGACACACACACGAAAAAAAACACACACGGGAACATTGAACACTGATCCTCCTTTGTTTTTTTGTAACCAACACACGCGCACCGCCGTGTCCCCACACCACACACACACCGCCACTGCGATACGCTCCGTGCACAACTCCGCCCATTTCTGATGGAGTCACCCCCCGACGATAGCGACCAGCCTCTTGCAGAGGTGGTCGCCACGCGTCAATCCCCTTCTCCCGGTGGTTTTTTCACTGCTCTGCTGGTGCTGCTGATGCCGCGCAAACTGGGGGCACCCCGAAGACAGTTCGCAGCGTGCAACGAACCGCCGCCAACGCATTCGCGGGTTTTAGCCCGTGACGGGCATGAGCCGCCCGCCTGTTGGTGCTGCCAGATTTTTTCTCCATTTTTTCTAGCATATTCGCATATTCGCGTATATATTCCAACAACAACAGTAGTAGTAGAAGCAAGTGAGGAATGTAGCTTGTGATGTAGGAACGTATGGTGACTTGGAAACTGTAGAAAATGATCAGGAGTTTTCGGGTTTTCTGCCCGCAAGCCGCGGGATTTGTCATGTCGGCCTCATAATGTCAATGAACTAAACCTAACGTATTCCACGAAGAAAAAATTCAAGGAGATCCCGTCATTTTGTCACGGACAACCGTAGTATTCTCCGCGATGTTCTTCGACGGTGAACCGCCGCCAAGGCCGCGGTTCGCGCGGTTTTTGTCACGGGGTAGAAAAACCGCACCTTCAAAAAAACGTGCGACGGTGAACCGCACCGCACCGCACCGTCAAGTTTGGAGATGAAAGGACGGCGCCGCACCGCACCGCACCGTCGAATTCTGAGATGGCAAAAACCGCACCGCACCGCACCGTCAAATATCGAGATGAAAAAACCGCACCGCACCGCACCGTGACCATGTCAAGAAACAACAAACCGCACCGCGGTGCGGTTCCATACCGTAAACATCCCTATGTTTTTCGGCGAATAACAGAGAAGAACTTTGGAATGTCCTGTCGAGTGGTCTACGAACCCAAATCTCAGGAACTGCAGACCTGTTACAATGTATGAGGAGTGGTCTCCATGTCTATATCCTTGCAGAAGGGGGCGCGGACCGCTCCTTGCAGGGAGGGTCTTCCACACTTTCTACAGTTTCACCAAACCGCCCATGGGCACCACGTAGATGCATGGGCTTGCCCATGGGCATACATGAGCATGCCCATGGTCAAGCCCATGTGCAGCTCGTGGGTAGCTCGTGGGCGGCTAATTGGTGCCCTTAACCGCAACCAGTGTACTCCTAAAGAAAAGCTTATCTGCTTTCGAACGGGCAGAGAGAACGGAACGTGAAGAAAACGACAACACGATACGTGCTAGGTTGGCGTTGGGTTGCTAAGCTCGTGGTTGATATTCCGGTGGCGAAATTCTACGTTTAGCGCCGACGGTGGGAACTTCATGGGCACTTCATGGGCTTAGCAAAACTGCGAATGTAGTGTGGTAGATTACGCAGGAAGGGGCCCCAATGGCGATATCTCCTGTTAAACAGCAATCCTAGGGAGTTGCAGTTCCCGCCAGATCTAAACATCTGACATATCTTGCTTGGAACTACAATACTGTTCAGAGCCTTGCACTCAAATCCCGCAACAGGGTTACGTGGAGGATGTGTGAATGATGGATATGATGCGCGGGGAGCTTTTTCCTCGCCCATATATCTCTCACTTCTCAAATCAAATGGTCTTGAGTTCACCTTATTTTTCTTCGGTCTCTGACGAAGCTGCCACACCCAAACACAATATACTACGGTACAAGGCCTAGTGTTGGCAGCGGGGTATTGGCGTCTGAGCCGTGGGACTCGCGCCAATGGGGCGACGAACACGATTTAGACTATACAGCGAAGCTAGGACGTGGCCAACGGGGACAGGAAAGCACAGCAGCGGGTATGTAGCTGGGACCGTCGCCATCGGGGACCAGGTCAGCTGAGGGGTTATAGCTGGGACAGAGCTTCAGGGCTGGGACCGCAGGGCTCCCGACATTTTTCAAGAAGTATATTTTAGGAGAGAGAACGGCGGAACATGAATGAGGAGTCGCAATTAGGAGGTTGCAGCTTCAGTATGCGAGAAAACACCAGAGGCGCTGGCTGAGACGGAGAGGCTTAGGCAGCAGCACCACAAAAACAACAGCAGCGATGGAGTGCCCTATCGCAGCTGCGAGTTGCCCGGCAGCAGCAGTAGCAGCAGCAGAAATATAACATCGTTTCTTCACTGCTCACTCGGTCGTGCCAATTCTAAGACTCTGTACGAGACCGCCAAGCAGATGGGCACCAAGGTAACCGCTACTCCGGAGTACTGCGATGAATGTGCGGAAACGAAGGCGATCCAGCGCTCGGCCCCCAAGGTCATCTTCCCTTTCCGCCGGAGGACGCGACCCCTTCGGCGTGTCACCATGGACCCACTGTAGCCGGTCCGTTCAGCCAATCCAGTGGCGGTTCCAGTACCAGATGCTGAACCACCACACTAACTACGGATGAAAGTTCTTCCTACGGGAGAAGAGCGGTGCTAAAGTGGTGGACGCGTTTCGTGCGTGGTGCGCCTCCCTCAAGCCACACTTGGCTACTCCCGGTGGGCTGAGCGGTGTTTTGAGCGACCATGGCACCGAGTGGTTCAACGACGATTTACGGGGGCTGCTGAAGGAGCTTGCATTGCACGGGAGGTCACGGCGGTCGACGGGCCCGAGTTGCGTCGAGCGGATGATTGCACCAGGGTAAGGCTGGATGGCTGGAGTTCCCGAAGCCTTTCCCTGGAGTAACGCTCCCGGTCACGCGCTGTCCTGCTGGGCCATCTGGCCCGAGGCCTTCGCGTGGGTGAATGACTCTTTGAGCATCGCAGTATAGGTGAGCATGGAAGACAAGCGGTGCCCGGAGGTGAAGCTGTACGCACAGGAGGATCCGGCTGGTTCTGACGTTCATAATGGCCGGCTTTCGCCACCGTCACCGTCCGTCAGAGATGCAGAGCAAGGGGGGGGCGGTAATTCTACCTGAAGTCACGAGCATTCCTCTGCGACGCACAAGATCATCGCGCCGATTGGAGTGCCCACGTACTCCGAACACTGCACCTTTCATTTCAGCAGCAAGGGTTGTCGGGGAGATGGATGTTCTTGGGGGTCGGTAAGGGGGAAGGCCGGAGCGCCCGCGGTGGCGGCAGGAGCGGCAGCATCGGCAGCAGCTCCAGCGGCGACGGCGGCGACCTCCGGCGGCAGTGTTCTCCTCGCGGTGGAGGCAGGAGCGGCGGCATCGGCAGCAGCTCCAGCGGCGACGGCGGGGGCCTCCGGCGGCAGTGTTCGGTCCGCGGCGGTGGCGGGGAACACGACCGGAGCGCCGGCGTTGCCGGCTGGAGCACGGCATCGGCGACGGCACCAACAGCGATGGCGGTGACCGGCGATGGTGTTTCCCCCACTATATCGGTTGGGGGGGCAGTCAGTGCACGCACTAAACCCGCGGGAGGAACAAGGACGACAGCGGCGGAGGAAGCCGTCGTCGCTGATGTCAGTGAGCAATCGCACCACGTTGTAGCGGTGACGGAGGCGGTGACCATAGACGGTGGCAACGCCAGCAAGGGTAGCTGCAACGGAGCAGCAAGATCGACGACATCGTCGATGGCAGCGATGATGGTGCGGTTTGCGCCGGCGAAGTTTGTGACGGCTTGTATTACAGCTGCTGTGGCGAAAGGGAGGGGCGTCCACACCCTTTTGATCCCGGCACCGTGTTGGCGAGGGTGCGCGACTCCAGCGATTGCGGGGAAGACGACCTGGTGGATAGATTCAGCAGCAGCAGCAGCAGCAGCAGCAGCAGCAGCAGCAGCAGTACCAGCAGCAACGACGACGTAGGGCATATATGTGGCCTGGGTTTCGGCGGCCGGTGTTGGGAGTGGACACCCCTTTCGACCGTGGAAATATGTTACGGGGGGAAAGGCCGGGGCGCCCGTGTTCTCGGCCGGAGCAGGGGCGGGAGGGCCGTAAAGCGGAGAGGGGAGTTCGGAGGATCGGGCGACTCCAATGACGGCAAGCAGCGCGACCTTTGCTGGGGTCTCAAAGCTCGCTCGAGGCACGGGATGCTTGAGAGCGTATTATTTTCGCTTTGCTGTGAT